AATAATCACATTTAATGACACCCTATAAACTAATAGTAAATAACTAAATTTGAATGTTTCAAATAAAAAATTAAGTCTACTAAAGTTAAATAAAGATAGCAAATAGTTAAAGTTAAAAGTAACGACTAGGGGTTTTCGCAATATGGTTTGATTTAGATTTTAATATTTTTTAAGCTAATTCAATTTAATTGGTTAGTAAAATTTTTAAATCAATCTAATTTACTATTATATGATTACCAAACCAATTCAACTTAAATCGAATCGGTATGGTTCAGTCGGTTTAATCGGTTTTTAACACTATTAAATATATAAAATAATAAAAAAAATTTAACATTAAGTAGAAAATATAATTATAAAATACATTAATATCCAAATCACTAGAAATATAATAAAATGCACAACTTATAAACAAGTTCTTATATTCATTTACAATTGTAAAGATTAAAAAGATTTAGACATTCTTCTTAACTACATCACCAAGGATAATAAAAGATGATTTTAAGTTTTAAATATAGTATAAATAATTCTTAAAGGTCAAAATTAATTGTTTTCCTTAATGCACCAAATGATTCAATTCCACCTTCGAACCCTATTAAAAGCAAATAAAATTTAATATAAATGTCATTAGGAATTATTAGAAGCATTCATACTTAAGATTTAAAACTCATCAACCAAATATCCAAGAATAGTAGAATATCAAAATTAGTGCTATTATATAGTTTTAAGATTTCTAAAATGATACTTCTTAAAGTTAAGAAAATCATAATATTATTTTAAGAACAAAGTAAAAATTTAGGATTCTAAAAATAGAGTCATAGATTAGTTATAAGAGATAGCGTTGCAGGTGAATTAGAAATATAGAATTAAAATTAGAGTGCATGATTTAGGAAAAAAATAAATTAGAGAATATGAGGATATTATATTCTTATTTTTTAATTAAGTTAATGGAGTTATCATCTTATAAAATAAGAAAAAAATTTAAAATGTTACAAAAAAATATACTATATTATTTAATTAAGTTATTTTGTAATTAGATTTTATTTTATAATCGGACAGTTTGAATAATTTGAGAGTAAAACCACAAACTAAACTAACTATATCAATTCTAAAATTTTGTAATTCAAACTAACTTAATTCTATATCGGTTTAATTTGATTTTTTATTAGATTAGATCAAATCAATCAGATTGGATCGAATATGAACACTCCTAATAATGACAGAGTCAAATAAAAAAAATTAGGCAGTACTATATAGACAATTTTTTTGTATCATTTTTTTATACAACTTCTATATATCATTAAATGAATAGATAAATTCAATATCATAAATCTCAAATAAATAAAAAGAGTCAATAATTTAAATGACATGTAAAGTTGTATTAAAATGTGGTAAAAAAATTATTTTTAAATCATTTTCTAAAAAAATCATTTATCTCTCTTAAATATGAAAAAAAGATAATTAATTTAAGACAAATTTTAAATAAAAAATGACTATTGTTTTAAAATAAAAATAATAATTAATTTGATTTGGTTGGAGCTAAAATTATAAATGAAACTAATTATATTGGTTTTAAACTTTTATCTTCTAAATCAATTCAATTCTAATGATTTGAGTGAATTCGGGTCGAATTCATCAATTTGGCTGAGATATGAACAGCTACAACATAAGGGCCCCCTCTTACAATCAAGAAAATTTAAGAATATTTTTATATTTTTATATTTTTATATTATAATAAATAAAAAGAATTAACATTTTTAACTTTTTTTTTTCTTGATAGAAAAACTTTGCACTAATGTTTTATTGTAAGATTCACTTGACAATTTTTCTCAATTTTCTTGATATCAATTTTTTACTTAATATAAAAAAAGTAATAGTTCTAATAAAATTTTAACAAAATTTTATTATAAATTTATTGACTTTCATTATAAAATTAATGATTCTAATAAAATTTTAACAAAATTTCATTATAAAATTTATTAATAGTTTTATTGTACCTTTTAACTTTTCATATAATATTTTCTCAATAAAAACATTTTAAATAAATTTAAGAACCAAACATGCCCAGTGGAAGAAAATTTTCTCTCTAAACTTAGGGACTATTTGGTTGGAAGAAACTCTTCTCTTGAATATTTGTAAACTTTCTATTTTATAAGGTTATTTTTATATTTTCACATACTAAGTCTTTAATAAAAAGAAGATAAAAGTGATATTTTTAACCTTTATTTACTTAATTTGTAATTTTTCTATTAATTTTTCTTATGTTAATTTTTTTAAATATAAAAAATTTGACAGTTCAATAAAATTTACTATAAAACTTATTAATTTTTTATAGAATATTTTTTAATCACTCTTTAAATAAAAACAATTCTACTAAAATCTGCCTGTAATAGAAGAGAGCCTATCTATTTGAAGGTGAAAGGAGGGAAAAGGGGTTTCAACGGAACCAATTATTTGTGGCAGGAATTTTCCCTACCGAGTTCAGGTGTCAAACTAGATAGAACTTTTAGTAATCCAGAATTGAACATCTGCTAGTGGCTTGTTCAGGGATACTAGGGTTGACTGGGTTCTTGGCTACTCTATAAATAGAGCAATGCTAGGGGCACTCGCCTCCTGCACTCTCCGGCCAGCACATGCTTTTTTATTGGGCCACGTAAGCTTGCTTGGGGTATGAAACGATTACTTCTCCCTAACCAACATAACGAGGCCCAATGAAATTGGAAGTGTTCGTCGGAGAGTGCAAATGGCGAGTTTTGCTAGGATCGCTCATAAATATTGACTGGTCTTTTGTTTTTATAGCTGAGTTATGAGCCATTAGGGATGGATTTAAATAAGCTGTAGAGAGAAACTTTACTCACTTGATCATTGAATCTGATTCTTGTATTGCTGTCCATTAACTGGTTCAAGATCCTTTGGAGTCCCACCCTCTTAGCTCTCTTTTATTTGATTGCAAGGACCAACTTCAGCAAATTCCTAATGTGAGCGTCTCCCATGTGGTTCGAGAAGCTAATATAGCTGCGGATGCTATGGTAAAAATGGAGCATAATATTTTGGAAGACTTTGCCTATTTTGATTGTATTCCTCAAACTGTTAAATTGGCATATATTACAGATATCATAGGGATTGAGTTCCCTAGAACTCACTAATGTTTGCCCTTTTTGAGTAATTATATTTCTCCTTATTTACCAAAAAAACTAGGTAGAGCTTTGAAGTAACAAATGTTTGAATATCACATGTAACAAAAAGAGTTAATTTGATGGGAAAGAAAATGTTTCTATTTAATTTCACATAGTAGCATTCTAAGTTTTAAAGGGCTCACTTATAATGTTATATGTATTAATTTATTTAATAATAAGTTATGATAATTTTAAAAATTAAATTTATTAGTAAGTGTATAAATCAAATTTAAAGTTAAACTCTTGAGTTTAATATATAAGGAAATTAATTTTTTCAAATATATTAGAGTTTAGACCAATGTGGTGGGATTTGTCACTAAGATCTTTCAAAAATGAATTAATCTAAACGTGCACGAAATCTAATATGAGACACCTTGATTATAAATGAAAAAAAAAAAAAAAATTACAATTATAAATTTATAAGAGTGCAATTTGTTTATATTGCATATTTTTAATAATTATTAAATATAGCAATATTGATACATAATTGAAATTAATTTTTAATTAGTGAATATAAAAATCATTTTAAACATATTAAAATTTATTATTAATAGATTTATAACTTACGTATCAATTAAAATTTTTTGAGATAAACATGATATAATAGTTCATTAAATTTTTATTAATTTTTTTATTTTTGCATATGTAATTATTGTTCTTATATATCTCTTTTGTAAATACCCATAGTAGAAGGGTTTAAGTTAAAATATAAAAAATATAATTTATTAACATTATTCTCTTTGTACTTTTTCATTTTATATTCAATGTTTCATTAATTTTTCTTATGATGTAATCTCTTCACTTACTTTTATATATTTTATCATTATATCTATTCTATTTACTTATATTTACCCTTGATATTTATTGAAAATTAAAAAAAAAAATCCATTAAATAATTATTTGATATTTATTAAACGTCTCAGTAAGATTCTGCTACACTTGGGATTCACTAGTCTTAATATGTATTTTTCCTAAATGAAGCAATGTGCAAAATAGCCCTAACATCTCTGAATTATTTTTCCAACGTAGGGTCCATCTAGACAAGCCTAAATCTCTCTTTATTGAATTTACCAAAAACAACTTCTCCATTAATTACTATAACTTGTTATGGAAAAAAAGAGAAAAGAAAAAACTCAAATTTTTTTTAAAAATAATTTGTTTAACATGTATTTTAAATGTAAGAGTATATTTATTATATTTGTTATTATTAATTTATATAAATAATTATTAAAATAAAATTTATTTTTAATATTAATATTATATAAAATATTTTAATTAAATAATTGATAATGATAAATTTAATTTTTATTTTTAAATAAAAATTAAGGGCAAGTTAAAAAATTTGTTTTGTAAAAAAATTTGTCTAACCTATATTCTAAAGACATATGTTAAGTTTTATTAATTATAAAATTTATAATAAATTTTATATAAATTTTTATATTAGATTTATATTTTTTTTATAGATTTTAAGTATAAATATTATATTATATTTTAATTTTATATTTTATATTTTACTTTAATTGAATTTGATATAAAAATTTATATAAAATTAATTAAAAGTATTATATTTAATAAAATTTAACATGAGAATAGGTTACAAAATTCCTTAAAAAAAAAAAATTGAAGTCCAGTGAAAATTAAAGTTGGCGGTGATGGAAGCTTCCGTAACCAAACACGCATTGATCAACGGCGTAGCTGTATCTTAACGTTTCAAGATCAACGGTAACTATATTTTGTATTTTTTATTCTAGAACTTTCCCCAAGATTTTCACACCATCAAAAGAAGGCAATACTAAATACCACAGAAACCCACCCCCCCACCCCGTCCCAAAAAAAAAAAAAAAAAGCAAAGGGAAATTCAACTCATCTTTTGATTCTTAGAGCTGCAGGAACAGAGAAACAACGAAGAAGAGAAAAGGTGAAGAAGAAGAACCAGTCAGGGGGGGAGAAGAGAAAGAGAGAAGAATTGGGGATGGGGGTGGACTTTTACAAGATTCTGCAGGTAGATAGGAACGCTAAAGATGAGGACTTGAAGAAGGCATACAGAAAGCTTGCCATGAAATGGCATCCTGACAAGAACCCCAACAACAAGAAGGAGGCTGAAGCTAAGTTCAAGCAAATTTCTGAGGCCTATGATGTATTCAACTCTTTCCTTATCACAAATCTCAAATCTTTATTGATTCTGTAATTGGCTTTGCAGTTGATTCAATTTCTTTCTATTAAAAACTTGAACTTGATCATTTCAATTCTTGCTTGTTGATTGAGCTTTTACAAATTTGATGCTTCCAATTTCTGGGTTTTCTTTTCCTTGGTGGTTATATTGTTTTGATTGCACAAATTGTCTGAATTACTCATGTATAATTAAAGATTCTAGCTTTATGATCCATGATTGAAACCCTTTTGTGCAGGTTCTAAGTGATCCCCAGAGAAGAGCTGTGTATGATCACTATGGTGAAGAGGGCTTAAAGGGTCAGATGCCACCGCCAGGGGCTGGTGGAGATACCTATTTCTCCACGCAAGATATACCGACAAGTTTCCGATTCAATCCGCGAAACGCAGATGATATATTTGATGAGATTTTTGGGTTTTCAAACCATTTTGGTGGTGGCAGTGGTGGTGGTGGTGGTGGTGGTGGTGGTGGTGGCGGCGGCATGAGGGCCTCAAGGTTCTCAAGTTCATTGTTTGGTGATGACATTTTTGCTGAAGCAATGGGAGGAGGAGGCGGTGCATCAATGCACCAAAGTGCACCAAGAAAAGCGCCCCCAATTGAGAATACATTGCTTTGTAGTCTTGAGGAGCTGTATAAGGGGACTACTAAAAAGATGAAGATCTCTAGAGAAATTGTTGATATTAGTGGGTAAGTTTCTAGTTCTTATTTTGCCTGTTCTGATCCTGTTTCATTTTTTTTTTTTCTACAATTAGTTCTTTCCTTTTTGATATGCCAATTTTCCTTGTTGGTATTTGTTAGTTACGCATCTAGTATCCGTAAGTGTTCATTAGCTTGTTGTGGTTTGACTATGAATCTTTGAAGATTAGTTTGATGGAAATGATCACCGCACTGGTTTCCTGATGAGTGGTGTTGGTTTAGGAGTAAGGGGATCAGCGAAACTCATGGCTTTGCATTATATTAGCTTTCCATTTATGATCAATTTCAAATACTCCCTCCATCTCAATTATCTTTCATTATAACTAACTTGCATGTATGGTAATGTGGTTGACTTAGGTACTATCTTCTGCTTGTTTCTTATTCTTGATTGCAGTTATAATTTTATAAGAAATACATTATAATGTGGACATTAGAAACTTCTTTTTCCTATTTTTAATTTCTTCTTTTGGACATATTTTGTAATTGTTGATGATGGGAATTCATTTCGAAGTGAATTGAGGATTTAAAGTACATAACATACAGGCTCAATTTGTTTAGAGAAAAAGCTAGTGTTTGTGAAAGGGACGCAGGTTTCTAGTCCAGAACATGGAGTTTGATTTGCTCATAAAGTTGTGTGGCATGCTAAGCTAAATTTGACCATTGCTTCTATGTTGGTTGGTTCTAGTTGTCAGTTTATTGCAGGCTGTAATGAGGTTAGCCTGATGAGATGTGCTAGGTTTAGAACAAGGATTGGTGTCAAAAAGAATAGTTAAAAGTGCGCATGTTCATGCTTAACATGAATACTGAAAATTTAGGAAAAAACATTCAGGCTTTAAAGACTAATACTAGATAATAAAGTATTATAGGGAGTTCTCATCCTCTTAAATCATTTTCAACTTTGATTTCTAGTGCTGATTACATCCTCAAAACTTGGCTATAGGGACACTAAAAATTCTATACTTTGCAAAGTTAAAAGAAGAAAAGGACATACAGAAGTCTTAAACAAAGCTGGTTTATTGCAGTGTCTTTACAGAAAAATTGCATTTTTCTTCAAATCTGTCTGGTGGCTGCATGAATTTCATGTAGAAGGTTTCTGTTGAGAATACTGAGTTACTTGCTTCTTATTTGTTTTTGTGAGTGCAGCAAAACCATGCAAGTGGAGGAGATTCTAACTATCAACGTGAAACCTGGATGGAAGAAAGGTACAAAAATCACCTTCCCAGAGAAAGGGAATGAACAGCCAAATGTCATTCCTGCAGACTTAGTCTTCATCATCGATGAGAAACCACACAGTGTGTTCACTCGAGATGGGAATGACTTGATTGTCACACAAAAGATTTCTCTAGCTGAAGCCTTGACAGGATATGCTGTTCATCTCACTACACTGGATGGTAGGAACTTAACCATCCTAATTGACAATGTAATCCATCCAAACCATGAGGAGGTTGTTCCAAGGGAAGGGATGCCGATCCAAAGAGACCCTTCAAAAAGAGGAAACTTGAGAATCAAATTCAACATCAAGTTCCCAAATAGGCTGACACCTGAGCAGAAAGCTGGAATCAAGAAACTCTCGATTCTTTGAGATTGACGGTGCCTAATGATAATTTATCGACGTGAAGGGAGCAGTTCTTGTGAATATCTATTTATGAAGACTAGGTGATCCTATGAAATACTACTGCTTCTTGGTTGGTTCTAGATTTAGCTAAAACACTGGTTTTTATTAGTTAAATAGCATGTTTTGGTTTGCTGGTAATAAGTTCTTTCATGCTTCTGAGCAGTCTTCTGAATCTGGTGGTGCTGAGAATTGTTTGTACTAGAGGGAACCATAATGAGTTTTCCATTTTCTTTGAAAATCAGCAATTTTTCTTGCACTCTTCTGCAGTAAATCTTGGTGTAGTGAGAAGGGTGGATTAAGAGGGAAGGAAAAAAAAGAAAAGAAAAAGGGGGAATCCAATTGTCACAAGTCATATTTGCTCGTGTCTTTCATTGTTATCATTCTGTTGTTAGTTAAACAGAATTTTGCATGATCTAGGTGGAGCTTTTCAAGTAACGAGCAGCCTTTAGTATCTTCCTCCTTTACCCTTAGATTTATATATTGTTAATAACGTAATATAGTCCCACAATTTCAGTGCCCCCTTCTCTGTTCTGATATGGAAACTCGTTCCATGTCAAGTTCTTAAGAAGTTTTAAAGCAAAAAACTCTGTTCTTAAAAGCAACAAGCCACGAGTTCCAGTTTGTCAATCTTGTTCATAGGGCTATCCATTGGTCCTTACTCAACCCACTACTGTGCTAGTAGAAACGAAGAAATAAACAAAAGAAGAGAGAAGGGAAAAAAAAACCAGTGAAGGTGAAGAACACAAAAAAAAAAAATAAATAAATAAAAAGATTCAGAAGAGAAGAAAATGGACTACTTCAAGATACTAAAGATACCTTGGATTAGAATGCTAAAGATGTAGACCTGAGGAAGGCATGCGAGCACGCCAAGCAGAAGCAAATCTCCAGGACTTGTGAGATATTTTCTCCTGCAGTTCATTAAAAATCTCCAATCTAAACTGAACCACTTCTGAGAATCATTTTCTTTGTGTTCTTTAGTTAAGAGGTAGCATTTCATTAATATTAATTGTAGTGGTTTTAATATTGATTTGATCCTAAACTACGATTTTATAATTATTTTATGCCATTGGAGGAGAACCCAACCAAGAGAGGAAACTTGATAATCGAATTCAACATCAAGTTCCCGACAAGCCTGACTGCTGAACAGAAAAACATAATCAACAATCATTTGGGCCCTTAAATTAACAGTGTGACAGTGTACTTCCTGTCTTCATGTAAATACCTATCTATATGCTTATGAGAACTTTGTGAACCTCATGAAACTTGTTGACTTCCCTGAATTCTGCATGTCTAGTTGGATATTATGAACTAATGAGCAGCCATTTTATGATCTATGCATCTCTACAACATAGAGTGAAGTGGAGGTGTTTTACACAGTTAACCAGTTCCTCCCTACAACACAGTGTAAGTACAGGGGGATTGATGCATCAACCGAAAGGAGAACTTTCTCAACTTTTCCTTTACTCACTGAAATCTGAAGAAGCTTCAGTTGAATATCCGTATGGTTTCGCGTATGGATCAGATTCCGGATCATCTCCATCCCGGATTCCCTCTTCATCTGAATTCTCATTTCTGTATTCTCCATTGAAGTTCTCTTGCTGGTCTTGGGGAACATCATGGAGATTAAAGTTCCCTAGATCATCTTCAGGAACATCATTGACATATTCATCAGCTTCGTCACCATCTATGTTATAACCACTTGCCTCCAAGCAATCAGCTTTACCACTGAAAACACCATGACTGGCATAGTCATCTGCAACCAGATCATCATAGTCATCACCTGGTGCTTGGCCTTTCTCATGATTGTACTCAGATTTTTCTGAACTGCTAGGACTGTCAGCCACCTCTGCTTGTGACCTCATCAAACCATCTCCATTCCAGTCATCTTTTCCCAAGATTTCTTTGGGGTAATCTCTTTTGTTGACGATCTCAACTGCTTTCTTGCCCAGCTTTGGGCCACTTCTGATACTGCGACGACCACGCTTGTGCCCTCCTCGAGCTCGCAACCGTCCTTTCCACCCTGGCACCTGAACTAATCCACCACTTTTTGAGGCAATTCTCTTGCCAGATTCAGATCTTAGACCAATGACACTTCTCTGAGATCTTCCACATGTCGTACTGCTGCGACCCCTCATACGGCTCCGTCCACGGCTAGAACCAGAAGAACCTACATTGACCCCCTTTTCTTCTTGAAGATACTCATCTTGATATGAAGTTTGAATCCTTTCATCAGCTTGAGTTCTCTTTGCAACATCATATTTTGAGGGAAGCTTCCAAGAAACAACAGCAACAATCAGGAAAAAAAAAATTCAGAGAGATACCATCCATTGCTGAATTCCAGAAGAACAGATGCGGAAAAGGTAATTATAATAAGCAATTAACTGTGAACTCCGGTTTGCATTTTCAATGACTTTAGATGAACAGCTAAAATATCAAACCTACAAATTTCCAGGTATTTATTATTATAAATTCACAGTTATAGTATCAGTCTTTTCCTGATCGATTATTGTAGCTATTAGTAGATTTCTAAAGAGTTCCTGATAGAATTCCCCATAGGAAATCTCACTAGGAAATACCCACATGATTACTAAGTTGTGACCACAAATGCAATCTTTCCATTTTCATGAATTACCAAATTCAAAATGAATTATGAAAAAGAGTGCTCACCATAAATTTTCCAACTCCCAAGTCCTCCTGAGACTCTACTCTCTGGTTAAGTGTGTATGATATGGATTCATCAAGTTCCAAAAGTCTTAGAGCCACAGCAGCTGTTGTTTGTGGAATCCAAGGAAGTACTGTGACTGCTCCAGGATTGGAAGAATCATTAAGAACGCTGTCTGATGAGTTAAAGAAAGACAACAATTCAATTGTTGTCTCAAAGTTTGATGATAAACAGTCCCTTTTGATAGAATCCTCCAATAGTGTCACCATCTGAGAAGAGCAAAGTGTAAATTATAACCAACTTCTGAGTTCAACAAACCTAAAGAATCAGGCGGTAATAAAAGATTGAGAGAGAACCAAATGGCATCCTATTCGATTTGGCATGTACAACATTTAGGCCATTGAAGCAAGAGAAATAACCACTTCATTCCAAGGATTTTTATTTTTGAAAATCAACAAATTTCTGACCATTCAGACCCATCCCACAATTGATTTATCATCCCTTCCAACTATGAATAGAACTTCATCCTATGAAAGACATATTAACCATGATGCAATAGTTACAAAACCCGAACTCCATCTCAAATCCAACAGGAAGAAAAATTAAATAAGAAACTAGGCCTTCTGAACCAGAAATACTAATTTCAGATAAGCAAAAGGATGAACCTGGAGAAGGTCTTCTGCTGATGTTGAGGAGTGCAATTTCAAGCCCCAAGCTTTTCGAGAGCTGTCAGTCCAAAAAGGTTGAAGAGCTTCTGATGGAACAGAAACCTGCTGAGCTAGAACACACAAAATCTCAGACACCAAGAGCCACATCATATGTGTGTCAAGATAAAATGATACAACATAATTATTTGCTACTTATTGTGTCACCATACCAACTGAAGAGACATGCCATTTTTAGGGAATAATAAAAACAGATTTGAATATGCCCCTAGAGCACAATTTGCCACCTTGAGCTCACAAATATTTAGTCTCATTTTAGTAGTCTGTTCACATAGTTCATGCACCAGAACCATTTTTAACTAATTCAAAACCCAACCCAACCCAACCCAA